TGTGTGTGTGTGTGTGTCTCTGTGTGTATCTGTGTGTGTGTGTGTGTGTGTGTGTGGTGTCAGAAAGATTGGAGATACTGTTAAAAATCAATTCTAGTATATGTTTATGAATGAAGATTAGGAAAAGGAGGTTCTGCATACCCAGGGTTGAGTAGGGGCTCCTCTAGGGGGAGGGGCCAGTTCCCATTCTCTTTTAAGGCCTTTTAGAAGTTGTTGCCTCAAATCAGCATTTTTCACAAACACTAAGGTGACCAACTCCCTCTCCCAGATGGTTTGGGCACTGAGCAGATTCGGTTCCCCAGGATACGACTTTCAGTACTATGCCAAGTGAAATGAGAGGGTTGGTCATCCCAACAGGCACACTTGTCAGCTTAACATGCATTTAGAAAGATCATCATCCTAAGAGTGTCTTTCTTACCTGGTAGCTACAGCAACATAATCATCATCATGAGAACAGCAGGCAATCTGAGAGATTGCACCTTCCTAGGACATCAGACAAAGAATAGTTTGTTTCCATTCTTCTTTTACTCAAAATGATTGATTACACTGCCAAAATTCACATTCATGAAGCATGCTCCGACCAACATGTAAATGTCCTTGTTCTTACCCGGTGAGAGAGAAACAGCCTTTGCTTCCAGCCATCTTTCTGAATAAGATTGAGTCCTCCTCCTGTGCTGCCTAATGCCAGCCATTTCCGAGACACAGCTACGCTGGTACACTAAGAGCATGAAGAGACAAATGTGAGATGATTGTGCCATACCCACTATGAACTGGGGATGCAGCTTGGTTGCAGGACACCTTCCTGGAATGGACAAGAACCTAGGCTGCATTCTCAACACATATCTTAGCCCCTGGAAAGAAGTACTGCAAGTCTGTGTTCACTGCCTTCCATCTATCCCCTGCCCAGAAGGACACAATGTAACAGTGCTCATTTCTAATTCTAGAATACTTAAATATATAAACAAAAACATTTTGCTTTTAAGCTTTTAGTTGAATCTCAAAAAGCTAAAATCACTTGTATAAATGAGTTGTTTTTCTTTGTTACAAGCCAGTTATTAAACGGCTCATATTTTGCATAATTTGGCCAGTTCATTCCAGTGCTGACCACAATAGGGGGAAACCAAATAATTACCAAGGACAAAACAGCTACTTCAATCATTTGCTCACTTAAATCATTTCTATCTGCAGAACCATCACATACACCCACAGCCCTTATAGCAAATGAGACTGGGAGGCCTCAGATGCAGGTCCCATATCACCATGTCTCTTCAAAACCTCAGGCTGTTCATTGCTTCCTGAGCCACCAGAGAAAGTTGTGGTCATGCTGGAGACAATTCCTGTGTCAAAATGTGTCATTAGGTTGACTGAAAACCATTCCTAATCCTCTTCAACTTTGTTTCTTTCCAACACAGGAGTTGACAAACCCATGTAGTCACTTTTGTAGGTTCCTTTGCTGCCATGGGTGGCTGAAGGACTCAGTCTCAGCCATCGAACTCAGCTTGCTGGGAACTTCTTAAGAAGCTTTGTCTTCTCTAAAGAAAAGTAGAGCCAAGAAAATGTCCAAACCTTTGTTCTTGGCCCCTCATCCCTGCAGGAGTTACTAATATAGACAAGCTGAATAAGGCCAGGCAGGATTTTATACTACTACTATAATTAAGCCAACATGTATGATGGAAGAAGAAAGATGGAGAACCTTGTCTGTGTCCTCAATACCCTCAATGGGCCACTACCCTAAACCTAGTAATGCTGAGGTTCAGTAAGATTATAAATTAACTTACTGCATTAACCTCTATTTGTAAGGTATTCATCGCTCTAGTTGGTTGCATGAACCTAGAAAATCTGGACCTAATAATGAGGACTTAAATGCAGTAGCCAACTTTATTCCAAACATCAAGCAATTTATATTCTGAGGGTTAAAAAGAATCACATGAGTAAGGTGTTAAATCATAAGGACAAGCTACACATGCAAAAACCTGTTTCCATAGAGGCATATGAGTAACAATAGCTGAAGTAAACTCACTCTTTCAGCTACACCTGGGAGGAGCACAAAAATATATTCCAAGAACAATTCTGTGCTTTGAAGAAACTGCCTTGTTTTCTTGGCATGTTCTCACAAACACTCAGAATTCCCACACAACTCCACTCTTGAACTGTGTCCAACAGTTAGGTATGCTGTAACTTGCAGCTGAAAACATTTCTGATATTGACCTTCACCATTGTTGACTGCACTGGCCTGACTGTTGTTTCTTCTTCTCCCTTTTCTGAAAGGACAGAAATCTGAATTGGGACATCAGGCTTATACCTGCAATCCCAGCACTGAGAAAACGGAGGCAGGCATTTCATCATGAACATGGGGCCAGCCTGGGCTGCACAGTGAGTTTCTGACAAGTCTGGGCTAAAGAGAAAGATAAAAAGAGGAAAGAAAGGGGAAGAGGAAAGGGAAAAGGGAGGGGGAAAGGGAGGGGAAGGGAAAGAAAAGGAAAAGAGAAGGGAGGGAAGGGAAGGGGAGGGGAGGGGAGGTGATTTAAAGCAACAGCAAAAGTTTAAGAATAAAATCATTTGTGACATAGACTTACTCTTCACTGTGACTTCCTTGTGTTTAATCAAGAATCTGAGGTTTCTGGGACCCATGTACTTTCCACAAAGCTAACTAGCTTTTGCCTTAGTCCCTACACAGGGTTGTATCAAAGCCCTCTTAAAGTAACTGCAGTAGTTCATATTCTTCAAAAACATAATGGGTATGCGCATTTACACTATTCAAATGCCAATAAAGGATGTTACTTCTTGGGAGAAGACAACAAGATTACCAAGAATGAGGAAAATAAGTCAATAGCAGTATATTCCAGAACTGAGAAAGAATTCAAATGATAGCAAAAATAAAAATAAAAATACTTCCATGTAAGGTAAAACAGGCAAAAGCCCCCAAGAGCCCACAAAACAAAGAACAGAGGGGCAAGAACAGAGGCAGGGGCAAGAATGGCAGAGCACAGGAACACAAGGATATAAATGAAAGTAATGGGTTACATGAGACTCTGTTTCAAAGCAGTTCACCTTTAGACGACTGGAATCCAGTCGCAAAGCCGTGAGTAATGGATCCAAGGAATCAAACTCTGCAAGAACATGGCTGCAGGCTTCTGGTATCACTGGCACAAAAGTCATTTAACCAGAAAGATGAAAATTGTTCTGTAATAGACACTGGATTTCTCTCTGAAAAAAAAAAAAAAAACTGCAAAATATAATTCAAGATTACCACTCATTCAACATATAGTAACATTCAACATAGAAAGAGGCAACCATCTCTGGAAGCCAGGTATGGGGGAGGAGGGAGACCTAGTTACCAATTACATGCATGCAAAAGTTCATTCACACTATATGAGTTTTAGGCCTTGATTTCCAAGCCCCTCCATAGTCCTATCCTACTGTACAATAGAACAATTTAAGTAAGAAAGATGGATAGAATAGAACTTAAAAGAAAACAGGCCAAACTCCTCAAAAGTACAGTAGTAATCCTAATGTGTTTCTTTGTGTCTATAGGAAGCTTTCATTAAGAGACAATAACAAGGGCTAGAGAGAAGGCTCAGAGGTTAAGAGCACTGGCTGCTCTTCCAGAGGACCTGGGGTTCAATTCCCAGCACCCACATGGTGGTCAAAACTATCTGTAACGAGATCTGGTGCCCTCTTCTGGTCTGCAGACTGCCATGATGGTATATGAGGTCCCCTGTTGTGCACGTGAGTCCTGGTATAATTCTGTGAAAGCAGGAAGCCTTATAACCAAATCACTTCAGTAATCAGAGTGCAAAAGTTTTCTGCTTTCTTTTGAACTTTAACTGTAAACAGCTTGAAAGAGATGTGCTCAAGGGCTTGCCATTGATGCCAATAACAAGGAACACAGTGGAGTTGACCATGGCTGATGACAAGCAGCTAAAAGGCACATCAGCAGCTTCAAAACCTGCTACTCGTTAATTTTAACTTCTATTACCTACCAAGTTAGTGAAGGAGGAGAAGCCACAGAGGCAATAGCTGATGCTATTTACACAGTGGGTAAAGAGTTTGCTGCTTAAACATGAGGACCTCAGTTTGGATCTCCAGCATCCACATAAAAGCCTGACATGGTAGCACATCAAGGAAGACACATGATAACACCTACCTTCGGCCTCCACATGCAAATGGGCAAGTCCCCTCAACACACACAAAAAAATTAAAAATTCATAAGCATCTGTTTGTATTTTTGCCTATGCTTCATATTTTTGACACTATTTTAGATGCACATTTATTCATTTAGCAAATCTATACTGAGCATCACTCATATGCTAGACATTGTTCTCAGAAATAACAGCAGAGAACATAAGAAATGTCCTAACCTTCTCAGAGCACACCTTCCAGCAGTAAGACACACAGAAACATATAGAAGCTGGTTTCTCTTATTTTTGTGGTATGAGAAAATCAAACCCAAGATTTTTACGTACTAGGCATATGTTGTATCACTGAATGTGCCTCTACCCTCCCTTGTGATTTTTTTTTAATTATATACATGTAATACATCTTTATTCTCTGCTAGTAATATGTTCTTAGTACAACTTGACCTCTGTAAGAATTGTATTCTAGGGGGTTGGAAAGATGGCTCAACGGTTAAGAGCACTGCCTGTTCTTCCAAAGGTCCAGAGTTCAATTCCCAGCAACCACATGATGGCTCACAACCATCTGTAATGAGATTTGGTGCCCTCTTCTTGCCTGCAGGCATACATGCAGGCAGAACACTGTACACATAATAAATAAATCTTTTTAAAAAATATAAAAAAAGAATTGTATTCTACAGCAAGCAAACAAAATTTATCATGACTATACTCAAAATATTTGACAATTCCTTACCCAAGAAATTTTTTCAGTCATTTATCTTTTTAAAATTGATGTATTTTTACTTTATGTGTATTGGTGTTTTGTCGGATCCCCTGAATGTAGCGCTATAGACAGATGTGAGCTACCATGAGTGCTGGGAATTTAATCTGAGTCATCATCTGGAAGATCAGACAGTGCTCTTAACCACAAAGTGTTTCTCCAGCCCCCAGGCATTTATCTTATTAAGTAGTTAGTAAAATAACAGGGATAATTGTGAGGACATGATAAATAAAAGAATTCCAGGCCAGGCAGTGGTGGTGCACGCCTTTAGTCCCATCACTCAGGAGGCAGAGGCAGGCAGATCTCTATGAATTCGAGGACAGCCAGGACTGTTTCACAGAGAAACCCTGTCCTAAAAAACAAACAAACAAAAATTCCAGAAATCAGTTCTAGTCAAATAAAGATAAAAATCACAAATACCATACATATACATAAATTCACACACACAGCACTCATAAGAGATCACAGCAAGTCAAAGAAAAATGTCTGAAAACGGCCTAAAATGAGTAACACTATTCCCAGGCCAGCTTTTATCATGAGGAAGGGGAAAGGGTTGCAGATAGAGCTGAAACAGTAGAGGGGAAAAGTGCTAAAGGTATTCAGAGAATACAAGTTTCATCCTGAGTTAAATATAAAAAGTAAATAATGGAATAGATGAAACTATGACCATAATTTGGGCTCAAGGTACAAAATACTTCCAACCTTAAGCCAAGGAACATAAAGTTACTTTGGTAGGTTGCAGAAAGTCACTGAAGGATTTAGTGTGGAGAGTCTAAACAATTCCTGTAAAGTGCTATGGGCAGATGCTAGAAAGCACAGATTTAAAAGTAAGGAGCCAGTTCTGAAAGATAAGGCATTCCCATTACCCTGAAAGTCTATGGGAAAGAAGAAAGCTTCTCTCTTGACATTCTGAGTAGAAAAGACTCAAAACTGATTTGTAGCTAGCAGTAGCTAAAAGCAAAGAATAGCTTCTTTTTCCATAATGTGATCTCAGCTGTACTTTAGCTTCATCTCCATCCCACCTTACCCTCTCTCAATTATTCAGCTATCATGGGCTATCCTATTCTTTCTTTCCATAGTTTTAATTATGCTGTTCATTGAATATTCTCGAACCTACTTTTCTAAAAAGCCCAGTCTAAACATTACTTCTGTGTGCTGACAGATTTAAAAAAAAAAAATCAAAAACCTTTTAAAACCTCTAACCTCGGGCTGGAGAGATGGCTCAGAGGTTAAGAGCACTGACTGCTCTTCCAGAGGTCCTGAGTTCAATTCCCAGCAACCACATGGTGGCTCACAACCATCCATTATGAGATCTGGTGCACTCTTCTGGTGTGCAGATATACATGGAAGCAGAATGTTGTATACATAATAAATAAATAAATAAATAAAACCTCTAACCTCATAGTAGATGGTGGCAAATGCTTGCCAAAAATCAGTGAACATCTAACATCTTTTTAAAGACCGGCTTTCCCGAGGGTCACAACACTCACAAACAGTAGGCTTGGAAGTAGAATACACGAGAGAAAAGGAGGAGGAGGAGGAGGAGGGCCAACGAGATGGTTTACTGCTGTACAGGCCTGTTACCTAACTTGGGTCCCAAGAACTCACAGAGATGGAAAGAGAGAACCAATTACACAAAGTTGTCCTCTGCGTTTGCCTTGTCATGCCACCTTCTCCCCTAATAATAAATGAAAATAGAACACAAGGATCGAAACTTTTTTTCCACTTCGCCGAATTATTTTGATGATAATTCAAGAGCGGTAGACAATGATTGCTGCTCACACAGACAATGCCAATCACAACGTACTTAGTCCCACTAGAAAGGTGCGCGGGAGGAAAACACCGATAGAGACGAAGGTAACAAAAGTTGAAGAAAATATGCAAAGGGGAATTAGTAGGCTTTATTTCCGGAATAGAATAATCTTCCTATTCAAGAAATAATGATCAGGAAACTCGGCCTCAGAAAAATTAATGACTCGCTCATGCATGCATTCATTCATTCAATGTTGCGAGTGCCTACCGTGTTCTAGGCCCTGGAAGCCCCGCTGGAGATGCAGGATAAGCAGAGCAGCTCCTAGTCCATCACAACTACCTTTCCAGCCACCGTGACTTTAAACTGCATCTGTCGCTGTGGAGGAGAGGAGTCTGAGAAGCAGGTTTTCCAAGCTAGGCTCGCAGAACCGCAGACCTGCAAGCCAGACACGATGCCTCCACAGCCCGGTAGCCGCCTCCCTAAGCAGGCCCCGCGGACACCCCGCGCGCACTGACAGCGGAACCTGAACTTGAGAATCGCTGCCGCCCCGCCCCTTGCTAACGTCATCCCTGGGCGCCAGGGACGCGGGGAAAACGCTGTTAACGGCACTTCCTCGTCACGTGACGGTCACGCCCCTCCCCGCGCGTGGTCCCTCCCCCTCCGGCTGCGGTCGCGATTACGCCGCCGGCGGCCTGCAGTGGGAGAGCCGCCGCACGCCGAGAACGCACCGATGATCCAGACCGGATGCTCTCGAGGCAGAATGACGAGCGAAACCGAATCCCCGAAACTCTTCGCCACTCGAGACCGGAGCTGGGAAACAAAACAGGCGGGAATCGGTGGGGGGTAGGGCTGGAGCTAGCGGAAGGTGTCATGGCGGCCGCACCCGCGGGGGCCGGGCCCCC